ATCCATCGTCCTGTAGCCTCTCCAGCTTTCCCTCCAAGAACCTAGTGTGGAGCCTCAGCCAGGCTGCGGGAAGCAGGGCCCTGACAGACAGACTGTGCGGGACAGCCGTCTTTAGGTGATTCCGAGGAGGTACGAGGGAAGGAGACAAGATGGGGACTATGTGTGAGCTCTCCTACTGTGTCACCAAGATGACGGGAAGTTTCACAACCAGAAGTTCAGAAAGGGTGTAAGTCACTAGCCACTAACCTGGGGCATTCACCGGTCACCTCCACCCTTAAGGATTCTGTGGCTATTTGTGAGGTGTGGCCTGAGGCCTGGTCCTTACCCTCAATGACTAGGGGCACAGGGCAAAGATGTTACAGGTTTACTGATGTCCTAGACACCACTCTGCTGCCTTTCCCAAACCAGAGTCACAGCAGAAACCTGGCAGCTCTCCCAGGGCCTGGTCACACATATAACCACGTTAGCATAGTTACTTGGTTTCCTCCCTGGTTTTCCAGCCCAAACTTCTCCTCACCTCAAACTGCTCGCAGGCTGGAGAAGGAAGCATAGCATTAACTTGGTGGCAAGATGATTTCCATTGTAATTTCATAAATAAGAAAACTGAGACCCAGAAAATTAATTCTACCATAGCAAGTTATAGGAAAGTTTGGGACTAGACCCAGGTCTTCAGACTGTGCCTACAACTACACCCCACTTCGTGTTGTGATTCTCTTTACTTTCAAGTCTGGACTAGGAGCCTTAGCTTTCATAGTAGCCCAGCCTCACCCCAATTTACAAAGCCTACACTGTGTGCAGATGAACAGGGCTCCCTCAGGTGAGACTTTCTTAGATGACTTGTTCAAGTCCTTTCTCTCTATCGTCCCCTGGCAATCCCCTCTCTCAAAGGCCCATGAAACTAAGTTCTTTTTTTGGGGTGGGGGTGAGGTAGGGGAAATCCCTTGCATAAGAAAGCTTGACACTAAATTTTGTTATATAGGTATATTGTATATATGCTGATGCAGTAAGAGGGGGGGAAAAACAGTGCAAATACAATTACAATTCATAATACTTGGTTTCAATGCCCCCGGGAACTGCCCCATTCCTCAGCTACCTCCCAACCCCCAGCACTTCCCCATAGTATCACCCTAATGCTGGGGGGTAGAGAGGGTGGGCAGGTTAGGGTAGGAGTGGGCTCTGCCAAGGCAGTGCTGGTGACCTGGAGGGAAGCTCCAGGGTGGGGAGGCAAGGCACAAATGAGGGGTGGGTGGTGGGGGAGGTGGCTTCTCTAAGGAGGGATGGGGTTGGAGCAGCTGCCAGTCTCAGTGTGCTGGGCCCACTCTCCTACCCACCCTCCACAGCCCTGCCTCCCTACCTCCTCCCCTTCCCCAGAAACCCTTTTGCACGGATCATACACAAACGGGCACATTACAAAATGACATAACACGGTTTCACAATATCCATGGCTAGGGCTTTTTTTTCTCTTTTTCAGCTTTTTTTTTTCTACACAATGTACAATTCCTTTTAAATGAATCAAGAAATAGCTTATATACACGAATGAGTCCTTGTTATAACATCTCGGCAGCAAATATCATAAGCTAAGGAAGGTCTTGTTGGGAGGGAAGGGAGCCGAGGACTGGGGTGGGTGGAGAGAAGGGTTATGCCTTCTGGAGGAATGGGGAGAAAAGGGAGTGGAAGGGGAAAAGGAACAAAAGTAAAATATCAAGAAGCATCTTTACAAAGCAGTTCTATAGCTAATTCTTTTAAAGGGGAAAGGAAAAGATAACCAAAGCAGGAACACATCTCTGTTTTTTAAAAAAAATGTCTACCATACATACATACAAAAATGTGGGGGGAAAATACTTATTCCAGGGATGAAGGAAGTCCAGATGCTGTGGTCAAGTGACAAAAGGGAAAAGGAAAAAAAAAAAAAAAAGAAAAAAGAAAGAAAGAAAAAAGAAAAAAAAAAAAAGGAAAAAAGGAAAAAGAAAAGAGACAAGTAAGGGCCTCGGTCCCTCAGCTTTACCCAAGCCTTACCACTCATCCACCTGTTTCAGGCTTCTAGGGAGTAAGCACCATCCAAAAACTACTGCTTTCAGAGGCTTTGGGGACGGAGAAAGCCAGGCAGAACTAGTAGGATCCTCTCTGTATTACCCTGAGCTTCAGAGCTCCAGGGGTAAAGATAAGCCTGAACAGAGGGTCTTTCCTCCTGTCTTTAGCTTAGTGTCTATGGGGCCAAGGCCTGGGGCTGGACAGCAACAATAAGGTTGGAGGGACTCAAGGCAATCAGGGATGAAAAAGTAGAGAAATGAGGAAGACAGGGGGGGAGGGAGGGAAGGAAGGAGGTGGAAGGCTAATACTTTACCATGATTTAGGGGAACCTTACCCCCATCACTAATCCCTGGGAAGGGTATGAAAATGAGAAGAGAGGGTAAGAAATCAACCTCAGCGATTGAGCAAAGGGTCATGGAGCTTTACTAGTGAATCAGCAGCCTCTATGTAACTGACCCCGAGGGGATACAAACAGGAAAAACTCCACCCTCTTCCCACTGCCTCAGCACCTTGGCAGGCACTCAACTATAGGCTTTCCTTCCCCATCATTCCCCCTTCTCTATACATTTGACTTCCAAACACCATCTACAGGCGGCCTGGCTCCCAGGGAAGGGGCTCAGTTCAGGGTGGGGACAGACCCCACCCAAACGATATTGCACATTCTCTGTTTCTTATTTTTAATCTCAACTGACAAACTTGGGCACCTCGTACCTCTGAGCGCCTCTGAGCTGGGGGAGGGGAGACATAACAGAAATGGCACTTCATCACGGGGGGGGGGGGGGGGGGGGGGAGAGGCTAGACAGATATGCCACAAAGGCAAGATGACTTGTAGGAAAAATATTTAAAAATCTTCCAATTTCATGGAAGACAAAAGCAAAAACCAAACGATTTATCCAGTGCTTTCAAAGCACAGAGGGCAAAGAAGACATGTAAGAATATATCTTTATATATATATATATATTTTTTTATAATTTTAAAATAATACCACACCCAGCTCCATTAACACCCCCCTCCCACCACTTAGTCAGGGGTAACACATTCCCCAGAAAAATACTCGAAACAACCCATCACTACCTGTTACTAGTGTCCAGCTTCCAGATCATTTCCCCGCTGGGGGAGCACAGACATAGGCTGCAGCTCTGCTCCTTTATTAAGTGCTCAATGAATTGGGGGGGGGGGGGGGGAGAAGCGCCAGGAAGGCCTTGTAAGGCCAGTATAATCACCCACAGTGGCTCTGGAGAATGGGGAATAGAGGCCAGAGTGGAGAGAACTGAGCCTGATTCTAGCTCCTTCTCCCATCCCATCCCCAAACTTTATAGGGAAGATGTGCAGTTTGTGTGTGAATTTTAAAAGTGCCTTCTTATTTAAAAAAAAAATATTTAATTTTAAAAATAAAAGTGGGGGAACTTCCCCAGGTGGCTTTCAAGGGCAAAATATTAAACAGCTCTTCCCCCCTCTCTGCTGAGCGCATCCCTTTCCAGCACCGCAGTAGCTTTTAGAGCTGGAGAGGCAGGTGGGTGTACACTGTGAGAGCAGAAACCCCGCTTTTACGGGACTTCCCTGACCTCAAAAAACAGCCAGGTCCCCATCCCTCCCCCACCGTATGAGTAAATGGGATACTCATGTCCCCAGTCCCCAAAAACAGCAACATTGCACAATTAAATTCATTCTCTACATTAGTAGCACTTAAGGAAGGGGGCAGGGCACAATTAATACAACTCGAGGGGGTGGATGGCAACAATTTCCTAGCAGAGGCCTAAAGTTGCTTTGGACAGAAGTGGTCTGGTTCTGAGCAGTTGGCTCTGCAGTCAGTGCAGCAGGGTCAGGGCAAGAATCCAACTTGATTAGGTGCCTCACCCTCACCTCCTGGCACTCGGAGGGTGAAGACAGACAAATGTGAGCCTCAACTGCCAGGAGAGAAAGCCCTTCCTTCCTAAGTTTATTTCCTCCCTTTATCATTTCATGCCCATCCCAACTCTAGGTCACCCAACAAACTCAGGCTGGGAACAATGGAGGGCTGGGGTTACCAGAATAAAAAAATGGGGGATAGGAAAAATTTTTATAAGAAAATAAGATGAAATAATTAATTTGGGCTAGTTAGCCTGGAATAGACTTCCACGACTCCACTAGGCGGGAGACCAATCTTATTCCCCCAGCATCCAGGAGGCTGGGACCTGGTCTCAGGAGGAGGATGTTGAGCCAAGGAAGACTTTCTCCCCCTTCTCTGAGTCAGTTGCAGGATGGTTAAGTTTTAAAGCTTCTCCCTCTAGGCTCTTTCCCCTCATTCTCAGAGCCCAACTTCAATCCTAACACTGCCTCCTGAACCGTCCAATCCAGAGACTCCACAGTGGGTGTGCCGTTTCTCCTTGGTTGAGGCCACCACCTCCCCTGGTTAAGTGCTTAAGAACTCTGCCCTAATACTCCTGGTCATGTTTTACCTGGCAGTTGGGACCCTACTGCAATGCTCCTACCATTTAACTGAATGTAATTTGTGTTTATTGGGGGGGGGAAAGAAAAAGAAAAGAAAAAGAAAAAAAGGGGGGGAACAAAGAAGAAAAATATGGGGGGAGGGAGGTTTAACCGTCCACTGAACAGAGGGAGGACACACAACATCATTAAAAATAGTAATAATCATTACAGCATAAAAACAACTTTAGAAACACATGTCAGGAGGGCTTAAATTTCTCCCCAGGACCTCATTCTCACCTCTACCGGAGGTGAATATCCACCTCACTGTTACAAGAAAACGTAAGAGAGGAGACAGAGCGGCAGAAGAACAGATCGCAGCAGTATGAAATAAAGGGAGGTGGTGGGGCAGGGCTTGTGTTTTCTTGTTGATTTCTATTTTTTGTCTTCTGTTTTGTTTTCCGTGTATGGTAGGCACCAGTACAGGCACTGCATGCGACGGAAGTTAGGGAGAGGAGAGGGGTAAAGGATTCAAGGTTGGGGCAGTACAAATGGAACAGGCGTTATTTCTGTCCACTAATGGATTGCGATATAGACCGGGGAGGGATCATGTCTAAAAGGTATTCCCGCTGTCGGTCTGCCAAACTGGGGGCTTTGTGTCCTCCGATGCCAGTGTTCAAGTATGCAATGTTGACACCTACACCCAGGAGACAAAAGTGGAGAGCAGATATTAAAAAGGAAATGATGCCTTCTTCTGCTACTTAGGGTTGCAAAGCTGGAGATGGGGAGAAAACATTAGAAGCTGCCTACTTCTGTCCAGGCTCAGTTAACTTTATTTCTGAGCAACTACCCTTTGTTCTAAGTTTTAGGGAACGAGGTCTTCCTGAAACTTCAATCCTTCAAGAAGAATAAACGTGATGTCTTGATGATATAGACAAGTAAAAAAAACAAAAACAAAAAAAACAGTGGCGAGAAGAAAATAACCAAGACAAAGAGATGAAATCATTGAATCTGCTTTGGTTTTTGGGGCTGCTGACATGGAAAGGCAACCTGGATCAAACGGGATTAGAACAGTTGGTTCTACTGTTCTGGCCAAAAGAGATCAGTAACCACATGCCCACCAAGTAGGCATATTAGACATTAAATTTCTAATGGAAGGAACTTTGTCAGTTTCACCACCAAAACCGTCGGACACTATGCTTACCATGTAATATAAATTTAGCAAACATTTGCCATATAAGACATACAGATCAATGGAACAGAACAGGGACCCCAGAATTTGGCACAAGCCATTATGCTCCATTAATATTTGACAGAGGAGGCAAGAGCATACAATAGTGTCAAGACAGTCTCCAATAAATAGTGCTGGGAAAATTGAACAGATACATGCAAAAAAATGAAACTAGACCACCAACTTAACCAATATACAAGAATTAATTTAAAATGGGTAAAGGACTTAAATGTAAATTGTGAGACCATAAAAATCCTAGAAGAAACCATAGGCAGCAAAATTTCAGACATCTCCATAGCAATATGTTTTATGGATACATCTTCTAGGGCAAAGGAAACTAAGGAGAAAATAAAAAAATGGAACCACAGCATAAGGAACCATCAACAAAATGAAAAGAGAGCCCACTGTATGGGAGAACATATTTGACAATGATATATCTGATAAAGGGTTAATATCCAAAATATATAAGGACCTAATACAATTTAAAAGGAAGAGAAACAATCTAATTAAAAAAATGGCAAAGGACCTAAAAAGACACTTCTCCAAAGTGAACATACAGATGGCCAAGACCCATATGAAAAATGCTCAGTCATCACTGATCATCAGAGATGCAAATTAAAACAATAAAATATCATCTCACACCTGTCAGAATGGCTACCATCAACAAAAGACAAGTGCTGGGGAGGATGTGAAGAAAAGAGAATCCTAGTAGTACACTGCTGGTGGGACGCAGACTGGTGTAGCCATTATGGAAAACAGTATGGAGTTCTCTCAAAAATTTAAATATGAAACTGCCATTTGACCCAGTGATCCCACTTCTAGACATATATCCTAAGAAACCCAAAACACCAATCAGAAAGAATTATACACCCCTATGTTCAGAGCGGCAAAATTTACAATAATTAAGATCTGGCAACAGTCCAAGTATCCATCAGTAGACGAGTAGATAAAAAAAGCTGTGGTACAGTGGAATACTATGCAGCAGTAAAAAAAGAAAAAAAAGAATCTCTTACCCTTTAAGACAGCATGGAGGGACCTGGGGAGTATCACACTAAGTGAAATAAGTCAGTCAGAGGAAGACAAGTACAAGATAAACTGAAGAACAGAGTGAATCCAGAGGCATGGAAGCATGGAACAGAATGCAAAACCTCTGAGCAAAGGCTGGGGAGGGTCAGTGGGCGGGAGGTAATCAACCAAAGACCTTGTATGCATATATGCACAACCCAATGGACACAGACAATAGGGTGGTGAAGGCCTAGGGTGCGGGGGTCAATGGGAAAAAAAGGGGAGCATTGGGGAGCATATGTAATGCTTTCATTAATAAAGATTTTTAAAAATTTGCCATATAAAAAAGAGGGAAGAAAGTAGGACCTAAAGAAAGAGTAGAAAACAAAAGAAGGAACAATTTACTTAAAGGGGCTGCTATAGAATTGGGTACTAACTAGTTAACCCCTGAGAAAAGTTCTGAGATCAACCCTTCTTACCTGGCATCCCAAGGAGGCCCCCTGGCACAGATAGCTGGGGTGCCTGTGCAAAGTTGGAGAGCATGGAACGGGCAGATGTGGGTATGCCACGCTGGAGGCTGCTTTGGGGCTGTGGAGCCTGCAACGATGAGGAGACAGTTCATCACAACTCTTTCATAGGGAAAGTTTAAGCGGGGGAGTAAGATTGTGAGAGTGCAGGATTATGACTTCCCGAAGAAGGAAAAACCAGTTGGGATAAAGAGCTGACAAACCCTGAGATAATTCCTCACCTGCCGAAGTGTATGATGTCTCATTATGGTCTCTTGTTTACTGACACTGGACACAGCTGGAGCCGTAGTGGGGGAGAGGGCTGCCTGCTGCTGTAATCGCTGTTCAATTTCCTGTTGGGAGTCATCAGGTCAAACTGGGCAGGACAGCACCCAATTTCCTAACCAGAAAACCTAGAGGTCTTATCTCTATTGCTGCCAGCTAGTTGAAGGGATATAAAAAAGACCAGAGTTTGGTGGGGTACGATGCTGGGGCACAGTGCACTAAGATATTAGGGTACAAGTAGCCAGCATGTTTCACTAAAGGGCCCCTCCCTCCTGGAAAGCTGGCTCTCAGAAGCTGGCTGGGTAGTGGGGATGAGCTGACCTATTTATTAATTAGCTGACCTAAGGTTGATGAGTTGCTGGGATTTTATTTTTGACTCCTATCTAACATTTTCCAAAGGTTCTGAAAAGGGTCTGATGGGGAAAAGAATATGAGTGAGTTTCCCAACACACACCCCCCTCTTCAAGACAGAGTCATCTTACTGATACTGTAGGTGGTATTCACACACTCTAGCCCCACTAGTCTTCGCTGGGCTAGTTTATATCTATTCCTTCCATTGTCATTTCTTTGTGGACTGCAGATAATTACTTCTCTCAAAGAGATTTCCAAATACAAGCCCCTCCCATTAAAATCCATTTGTGTGAGGAGGAAACAAAGTTGAGAAGAAATTTCTTAAGTGCTATTAGGGAAAGGCAAGTCTCAAGTCATTATATATCACTCACTGTGCTCTTATCTAATCAGAAATAATCAAATGGAAGTGGGAAAAGAATGGTTAAGTGGGAAAAAGGGAAACCAAAGCCTCCAGGTTTTAGGAACTTCAATCCAGAAACCTAGATCACCAGGACAGTGAGGATCACATTGTTAGCTTCTCTAAATTAGAAGTAATTATCTTTAGGGACAACCCAACCTAGACAACTTGCTGGTGAGAAGTCATAATTCTTACCTGTTCCTGCTGTAGGGCTTTAACAAAAGCGTTTTTCAGCCGGTTGGTGTGTTCAGCTTTTAGAGCCTTCTTCTGGTTGGAGGTCATGCATTGCTCACATAGAATCTTACCATTCTTCTCTTGCTTCCAGTGAGGGGTGAAATCTGTGCGGCACTGGGCACAAACAAAGGGTTCGACCCGCAGAAGTGAGGCACAGCTTTTGCCTAGATGCCAACAAGAATAATAATCAGTGGTTTCACATTTCCTATCTTGTTTCTCTTCATCAAAGGAATCTTTTTCCAGGAGTTTACTTTCCTGAATTAAGAAAGAGACTCTACAAAAATAATACTCTACAAAATACTTTATTTCCTTTGATTGTAACAGCATAACTTCAGTGAATTCAGATAGTACCATTCCCATTTACAAAGGAGCAAACGAAATCTAAGAAACATAGTTCCTAAATAACAAAACTGGCATAAGATCCTGAGTCTTCTGATTTCTTACCATTTTAAAAAGTGCCAATTTAGATTCAAAGGACTCCAGCTAACTCAGCCAATACTTTTGCTTCTTAGCATCACTTTACCTCAGATTGCATTTATCCTTGTCACGTGTTTATAACTTTTAGTTATTAGTGTCTAAATGACTCACTTAATGATCTATTTCTAGCCAATATTGAGCCCTTCTGACACTTTACTGTCAGGTATTCCCCTAAACTTGTATGTTTAGAAATTCAGGCTTAATAACTTAATGACAGGGACTAAATATAATAATGTAGCACAATGCCCATAAACACTGACATTAAAAATAAGTGTTGTAGCCTGGCCAACTTGGCTCTGTGGTTGAGCGTGGATCATGAGCCAGGAGGTCACAGTTTGATTCTAGGTCATGGCACACGCCTGGTTGTGGGCTCAATCCCCAGTAAGGGGACGTACAGGAAGCAGCTGATCAATGATTTTCTCTCATTATTGATGTTTCTATCTCTTTCTCCCTTCTTCTCTGAAATCAATTTTTTTTTAAAAAAGTACAACTCAACAACAAAAAACAACATAACTTAAAAAATAAGTGTTCTGGACATCAAATTATGCATGAATTATGCTAGGCACCATTTAAAAACAATACACTGCAAAAATACACAAGAGACACAAAATACACTATATATATATATATATATATATATATATATATATATATATATATATATATATAGAGTAAGAAGAGGTTATTTGATATTACACAATATTCTGATACTCTGCTTATGTCAACCAGGCTTGGCAACCTCTTGCTTAGATAAAAAGACTGATTAGAGAAAAAAAAAGTCTTACCTTGACTGTCGATAACACTTTGTACGACTTCTTCCAAGCCTACCATGTAGATGAACTCGCTGTTAGCTGCACTAGGCAGAAAGTGAAGCAAGGGAGCAGGAGGTTTAGGGGGTGGAATCTCCAGGAGTGTCTTTTCCAGCTGTTTGCGAAGAGCCAATTTGGCTGCAGCCTGTGAGTTGGCAGCATCGGTCATGGTGCTGGGGCTGGGAAGTGGTGAGGACACTCTGTTCACGGTCCCTGGCTGGATATGGGAGGCAAGATTCATATAGATGGCCGAGGATGTTGTGCGCTGACAGGGAACAGAAGAACTTGACTGCTGGAATAGATTTAGTACAGGTTCAGTGATGAGATATGGGAGAAAGGACCAATTCTTGTTTTTGTGGCAGAGAAACATTATTTGATCTTAGTTTAGATTACCTAGCTTCCCCCAAACTAAGAAAAAGACAGGAGGTGTCTAATTTCTTCATTGAAAAGAAACTATAGGACATAGGAAAGAAAAAATGATAGTGACTGAGCTAGAACTGCTAAGGGAAAAATAAAAATATTCCCTAGAGACTTCTTTCTTCTAGATAATTTTAATTTATTATGCTCTACTGTATAATCTCTTTTCTCCACCTCTACTTTCATATAATTCCCTCAATGCTTCCACTTTTTGGGATAGTTGTCCAAGTTCCATCAAAATTATTCTGTTGTCTTAATTTCTCTCAATCCAAAAATGTAAAACCTACAGTTCTTTCAACAGGGAAAGCAAATAAAAGATTTCTGTGTAACCACATAGGGCTCTCTCTTACCGGTTGGTAATTGATGGCAGGATTTATATTGGGTGTTGTGGTGCGTACAAGGCCAGGCTTAGGCGGGCCACGCTGACCCTGTAGCTGGGCTGGGTTTGGTGCAATAACACGCTGAGACATCAACATGTGTGGGAGGGTGGTATTGGTTGCTGAACGGATGACACTATGACCCTGAAAGGGAAGAAGAGGAAAAGAAGTAGTCATAGGTGATAAAATGCTCCACAAAATGTTAACGGGAAGACATTGTTTATAATACATAGCTAAGTAGAAATATAGAATAAGTCTACCATCACTGTAAACCCTTATTAGTCACTAGAAATTCCCTGGCCATTTATTTATTTATTTATTTATTTATTTATTTATTTATTTATAATATTTTTTATTATAAGCTACCAAACCCTACAAACTAAAAACCTTCTCTAGAAAAGAAAAACTAGAGTGAAGATGAGGGTTATTCATCCTACTGTAGATTAAATCAGGCCATAAAGGACCAACAGGATTGCCTGAAGTAATTATACCTATTTCATGGCCCTCTGACAGTAAGATCCCACTATGGGTCACATACCTGTAATGTTCTTAAATTCTGAGGTTCAACCCCCTGGGCCCCAGGCCGGGAGGGAAGCTTGGATAGGCCCTGCTGACCAACATGAGCAGGAGATGGCTGAACAATAGATGCTGCATTCTGTACAATTGGAGTCTGGGAAAGAGAATAGAAAATGAGACAGTTAGAAAAGGCTCAAGAGGTATAAATTTGGTACACTTCTATCCTCCCCCTCCCCCAATTTTTATTGATTTCAGAGAGAAAGGGAGAGAGATCTAGAAACATCAATGATGAGAATCAATAATCAGCTGATTCCTGCACACCCCCTACTGAGGATCCAGCCCACAACCCAGGCATGTGCCTTGACTGGGAACTGAATCGTGACTTCCTGGTTCATAGATCAATACTCAACAAATTGAGCCACAATGGCAAGGTGGTACACTTCTACACTTTATTATTATTTAATATATTTTATTGATATTTTACAGAGAGGAAGAGAGAGGGATAGGGAGTTAAAAACATCAATGAGATAGAGTCATCGATCAGCTGCCTCTTGCACACCTCCCACTGGGGATGTGCCTGCAACCCAGGTACATGCCCTTGACCGGAATCGAACCTGGGACCTTTCAGTCCGCAGGCTGATGCTCTATCCACTGAGCCAAACCGGTTTCGGCCACTTCTACACTTTAAAAACTATTGTCAGTGTGAAGCTCCCACTGATCAGGAGGGAAAATGAAGGGGGTGGGGGAAAACAAGATTTTGTTGATAAACGAATGCTTTAAAAAAAAAAAAATCTACCTGGGGCAGCCCATTCTCAATCCAGTTTCCCCCCATTCCCTTATTTCTAGGGCACATTACCTTTTGAACCACGTTCTCTTTCTGTAGCTGACTCTGTCTCAGTTTCTTTAACAGCACTAGTCGAGCTTCTTCCAATCGCAGCTCATCCCTCAGTTGCTTGATGAGCTGCTGCCGTTCCTCAATGCCTTTCCCCTAAGGAAACATGGAGACTATCATCTATGGTAGCAGGTGCCCAGAGTCCCTTCCTGCAAGATGATCCCTTCTTTTAGGTCTGAAACCTTCATCTTCCACAAGTAGCAAAAGTGGTGATGGGATTATCTTTGTGTTCTTGGGGTCTGGCAAGCACAGGGGTGGTGGCAGGAGCCTCTCCCACCTCTGCTGCAGGCTGAAGGTAAGGAGTAAACTGGCGGTAAGGAGCGAGGGGTCCCAGACTGCAAGAGGGATGTCTGCCTGCCAGCTTACCTGATCCCTCACCCCCTGCCCTCCACAGGCGGACATTCCCTGAGGGGTACTGACTGTAAGAGGGTGAAGGCCAGGCTGAAGGACCTCACCCCCCATCCCCAGTGCACGAATCTCATGCACCAGGCCTCTAGTCATTTATAAAACATCATCAATGGTAGTTATTTTGACCTAACAAGTAACTATAAAAATAACAGAACTGGGATACTTACAGAATTAAAGAGAATAGGAGAAGAAAAACATTTCTGTCATTAAAAAAAATTTTTTTTTTTACCTTAAACATCTCTAGGTTGGCTGCTTTGAGTCTTTCTTCCATTCGGGAGCTGGAACGGGGACTGGAAGCCTCATTATCAGATAAAACGATGATGTCTGGGGAGGGAGTTAGCCTTCCTCGGTCTGGCTCACTAAGACAGAAAGAAAAAAAAAATTAAGGTATGTCCAACAGTGAAAGCTCACAGAAAAGTTTTTGAATCTTCAAGGGAACTTAGGTCTGTCCTGATTTACACAGGGGAAGACAGAGAACTCAAATTGTAGGATAAAGAAGACACTAGAATGTAAGTGATGATGAAACCTGAACGAAAGTACTTTTCCCTTCTAAATTCCTCACAGAGGATGCAGAGACAAAGACACAGATTTCAGAAATGGAAATAAGAGTGTTCTCATCACACTGAGTAAATTAAAATTCTAAATGTTCTCCCTATACCTCTCTCTCCTCTGGGTTGTTTCATTAGTAGGAGCAAGAAGAAAATGGCTGGTGTGACAGGCGAAGAAGGGTTTAAGGCAGGAAAGCCTAGATGCCCACACCAGGTACAGCTAATATGTTGCTAAGGAGATAGCTCATTATACCAATAACATGGTCCTGACTATCTGAGGATCTATAAGAAAGGAGGTTATATCGCAACTCCATGATAATCTTATCCTGTCAAGAGTTAAGGCAAAAGAAGGTACTGTTCTCATTGGCTTGAGGGAATGGACAATGCCAAATACGTCTATGGCCTTCTGGAGGACTGACACTACAGATGTAAATATATATGGAACTTGCATCTATTTGCCAGAGTTCTGCTTAGTATCTTTCTTCAGAAAGAAACTATCTAGAAATGAATTTGAAATCTAAGTGTTCCACACTGGTTCTCCAGGAGCTTATTTATTATATATATATATATATTTTTTTAATATATACTTTGATTTTTTACAGAGAGGGAGAGAGAGAGTTAGAAACATCGATGAGAGAGAAACATCAGCTGCCTCCTGCACACCTTCTACTGGGGATGTGTCTGCAACCAAGGTACATGCCCTTGACTAGAATTGAACGTTTCAGTATGCAGGCCAATGCTCTATCCACTGAGCCAAACTGGTTAGGGCTCCTGGAGCTTATTTATTAAACAACTCTAGTCTTGGTCTTTATGAGGCTATCCTTGAAAGAATTCTACTTGTGTCTGGCCAGCATGGTTCAGTAGTTGAGCATCAACCTAAGAACTAAAAGGTCACAGTTCGATTCCTGGTCAGGGAACATGCCCAGGTTTTGGACTCCATCCCCAGTGGGGGGCATGCTGGAGGCAGCTGATCAATGATTCTCTCTTCATTGATGTTTTTATCTCTTCTTCCCTCTCCTTTAAAATCAATAATACACACACACACACACACACACAAATATATATATATATACACACACACATATATATATATATTTTTTTTTTAAGAATCCTACTTATTTCTCTAAGATGATGAAGAATGGCATTCCTCAAACTCCTAATACACACAGATCAATCGAGGTTTCTCTCTCCCTTCCACTCTTTAAATAAAAACACATTGGGGGGGAAACTTTTTAAAAAATAATTTTTAAAATGTTTTTACTTACTTATTGGTTTTTAGAGAGAGAAGAGTGGGAGAGAGAAAAATAGATCCTGAATGTGCCCCAATTAGAGATTTAACCAGTAACCTAGATGTGTCCCTGCACGGGAATTGAATCTCAGACCCTTTGGTCCATGGGAAGACACTCCAATGAGCCACACTGACCGGGGGGGGGGGGGGGGGGGGGGAGTGAGATATATTCGGATGTAAAACACCCTCCTCTCATTGGAATTCTATTTTCATAGGCTTAATTTATGAGAAAACCCTATACCTAGAGACAGCTGAACCAAGCCATACCTCCGTCTAGCACTCATATCCACAGGCTCATCATTGATATTTTCTTTGCCTGGCCTTCCAGCAATCCTATTGTCTCCATGAGGCCTGAGATTCCCATTGAGTTTCTCTTCATAGCCCTTGACACCACTGCCATCCTGTTTGGTGGGTAACTCATGAGACACTTCAAGATTTGCCAAATCCTTCCGTTTGAGCAATGCCAACATTTTCAGACGTTCCATGGCTTCATGCCCCTCCATTTTGAGTCGCTTGGCCAGGACATCATCTCGCTCATCTGCTGGGTCCAAGCTCCGTTTCAATAAATTCAGGCGAAGAGCATCTTCTGTCATTCTATCCATCCTGTGGAAAGAAAAATACAAGTGAGATCAGAACAAAATCCCTTAAATAGTCCATAAGGAAAGAGGGTGGGGTGGTAAAGGTATTAAGAATCATCACAAACATATACATGGAGGCTAAAGTTAACTCAGCTAACCTGTCCTATATCTTCCTAGAAACTAAAGAAACTACAAATACTCTCCAGTCAATTAGGTCCTTACTAGAGAGATACCTGAAATCAAACACTACATTCATCTGGAGAGTCTATTAAGAGCCTACGTGTCTCAAAAAAGACACATTCCTTTGTGTCAGATCATTTAACTCATACCAAATTTGCCTACTGGAAAACTCTTATGGGAAGTTCTTCAGGTCACACATGCATTATCTTGAATTGGTCTGCCTTATAAAGGGAGAAATATGAAAAAGATTAATTAGACAAAGATCATCTATCAGGAAGCTGCAGTTGTCTGAATATAGCAAGGATCAGAGGTGCCTACTGTTATTTGCACTTAATGCTATAGATACAGATTCAAAATCTTCTTAAAAAAATATATTTTATTGATTTTTCACAGAGAGGAAGCGAGAGGGATAGAAAGCTAGAAACATCGACCAGCTGCCTCCTGCACACCCCCTACCCGGGGATGTACCCACAACCAATGTACATGCCCTTGACTGGATTCGAACCTGGGACCTTTCAGTCCGCAGACCGACCCTATACCACTGAGCCAAACCGGTTTCGACCAGATTCAAAATCTTAAAATACTTGGCTTTGCTTAATGAAAGACTGTAAGTCCCAACTTTATGTACTCACAGCCATGCCTGCCTCAAAATCTAAAGAAACAAGAATAAAACTTGGAAACATTATGCTAAGTAAAGGACATAGAAGGACAAATATTTTATGGTTCCACTTATTTGAGGTACCTAGAATAGACAAATTCACAGAAACAAAAAATAGAACAGAGGCTTGAGTTGGAGAGGAGGGGAGTGAGGAGTTATTATTGTGGAAACAGAGTCTCTAGGATGACGAAAAAGTTCTTAAAATAGAGAATAGTTAAAGGAGATAAAAGCCTTGTTCTTGGAAAACTACAGGACATTGAAAAAAAAGATAGAGGAAGACAGAAACAAGTGTTCATGGATTGGTAAAATTAACATAATTAAAATATCCATACTACTCAAGGCAATCTACAGATTCTAATGCAATTCCTATTAAAATACCAACAGCAAGCATGGAACAGTGTGTGGAACCTCAGAGGGAAGGTGGGAGAGAGTGGGTGTGTGGGAGGAAATCAACCAAAGACCTTGTATTCATATATGGTATGAATAACCCATGGGCACAGACAAAAGGAGCTGAAGACCTAGAGTGGGGGTTTGGGGCAGGGGCAGGGCAGGCTAAAGGGATCAATAGGGGGGGGAAAGAAGAGATATGTAATACTTTCAACAATATTTATAATTTAAAAAAAAGAAATGTAGAAAGTCCACCACACCATACACAATAAATTCAAAATGGATAAAGGACTTAAATGTAAATTGTGAAATCATAAAAATCCCAGAAGAATCCATAGGCAGCAAAATTTCAGACATCTCCATAGCAATATGTTTATGGATACATCTTCTAAGGCAAAGAAAATAAGGAGAAAATTAAAAATTGGAACTATATCAAAAGAAAAAGCTTCTGCACAACAAAAGAAATCATCAACAAAATGAAAAGAGAGCCCACTGTATGGGAGAATGTATTTGGCAATGATATATTTGATAAAGGGTTAATATCCAAAACACATAAGGAAACAATATAACTTAACAAAAGGAAGAAAAACAATCCAAATAAAAAATGGGCAAATGACCTAAATAGACACTTCTCCAAAGTGGACATACAGATGGCCAAGAGACACATGAAAAAAATGCTCATAGTCACTGATTATCAGAGAGATGCAAATTGAAACAATGAAATACCATTTCACACCTATCAGAATGGTAACATCAATCCTCCTATATAATAAAGAGCTAATATACTAATTAGACCAAACAGCGACCTTCAGGATGAAGCCGAGGCTGCGAAGGCCAAGCCCCTAGCACAAATTTTGTGCATCGGACCTCTAGCATATAATAAAAGGCTAATACGCAAATTGTCCCCACAGGCAGGAATTCAAACCACCAGGAGTTAGACCTGTGCTGACCACCATGAGATGGCATGGAACATGAGAGCGTCGGCAATGCGGTGCTGGCAGCGAGCAGCAGTGGAGGTGCTGCCAGCCCTGATGGGCCCTGACGAGAGTGGGACCTCAGCAAGATGGTGGAGCAGGTGAGTGGGCGGCACCAGGCCACCATGGTGTGAAGAGAGGCCCCGGGCAGCAGCCACTTGGGATCCTACCTATGCACAAGTATTGTGCACTGGCCTCTAGTAAATCAGTAAGTGACAAGTGCTATAAGAATGTGGAGAAAAGGGAACCTTAGCCTAGTACACTGCTGGTGGGAATGTACACTGATGCAGCAATTATGGAAAACAGTATGGAGTTTTCTCAAAATATTAAATATGGGACTGCCATTTGACCCAGTAATCCCACTTTTAGGAATATATTCCAAGACACCAATCATAAAGAATGAATGCACCCCTATGTTCATAGCAGCACAGTTTACAATAGCTAAGATCTGGAAATAATCCAAGTGTCCATTAGTAGATGAGTGGGTTAAAAGACCTATGATACATTTATACCATGGAATACTATGCAGCAGTAAAAAAGGATCCCTTACTCTTTAAGACATCATAGAAGGACCTGGAGAGTATTATGTTAAGCAAAATAAGCCAGTCAGAAAAAGACAAGTATCACATGATCACACTCATATATGAAATCTGATGAACAAAATAGATCCAGAAACATGAAAGCATGGAATGGATTGTGGACACAGTAGGAGCCATGCAGGAGGCAATCGATGGATGTTTCACTTTCATATCAGTATTTCTCTCTCTCTCTCAAAACCAATTTTAAAATCTTAAAAAAATATATATTGCCGAAACCGGTTTGGCTCAGTGGATAGAGCGTCGTCTGCAGACTGAAGGGTCCCAGGTTCGATCCGGTCAGGGGCATGTACATTGGTTGCGGGCACATCCCTGATGGGGGGTGTGCAGGAGGCGGCTGGTTGATGTGTCTCTCTCATCAATGTTTCTGGCTCTCTATCTCTCTCCCTTCCTCTCTGTAAAAAAAATCAATAAAAATATATTAAAATATATATATATATTAATTGGAATTATATACAGTATTTAACTTTGGGATTTTTTTTCACGCATCATAATTTTCTTGAGATTCATCCAAGTTGTTGCTTGTATTGATAATTTGGTCCTTTTTATTGCTGAATAATCAGCCCATGATGTGGACGTACCACAATTACTCACCTGCTGAAGGACAACTGAATTTTTTTCTAGTTTTTTTGCTATAACGAAGCTACTACATTCATATACAAGTTTTTGGAGGAACATACGTCTTCATTTATCTGGGATAAATGCCCAATAGTACGACTGCTGAGTCACATAGCAAATGAATGTTTAGTTTTATAAGAAACTGCCAATCTGCTCCCTAGAGCAGTTATATCATCATATATTTCCAGTTTCTTCATATCCTCACTAGCATTTTGGTACTATCATTATTATTTTTATTTTGTTTTTAATCGTCACCCAAGAAGTGAGGATAGCTCTTCCATAGATTTTTTAGAGAGTAGAAGGGCAGGGGAAGAGAGAAACATTGATGTGAGAGAGAGACATATTAATTAGCTGCCTCCCACACACACCTGGTCCTGCAACCCAGGTACGTGCTTTTGAACAAGAAATGGACCCATGACCCTCCAGTGCATAGGCTGACACTACCACTCAAACACACTGGCAGGGCTGACATTTTTTATTTAAGCCATTCTGATAGGTGTGTGGTGGTATTTCACTGTGGTTTTAATTTGCATTTACCTAGTGGCTAATGATGTTGAATATCCTTTTTTATGTGTTTATTGCCATCTGTAAATCCTCCTTTGTGAAACTTCTGTCTTTTGCCTATTTTCTAATTGAACTGTTTGGTTTTTTTTTTTTATTTACTATAGAGTTTTGAGAGTTCTTTACGTATTTTAGACATTAGTCATTTGTCATACATGTGGCTTCCTAATTTATTTTCAGTGAAATTAAACATTACAGATACAGTTGAAGCACCCGTGTAACTTTACCCCCAAACTATTCTTTACTCTCACTCCTTCCTCTCTTCCCAGAATTCATTATGATGAATTTATTATCATTCTAATATTTTTTAAATCCTCACCCAAGGATATTTTTCTATTGATTTTAGAGAGAGTGGAAGAGAGAGGGAAAGACAGAAATATCGATGTAAGAGAAATATACTAATTGGTTACCTCCTGCATGAGCCTAACCAGGGACTGGGCCAGGTATGTGCCCTTGACCGGAATTGAACCCAGGACCCTTTGGTCTGTAGGCCAATGCTCTATCCACTGAGCCAAACCAGATAGGGCTCTCATTAATATTTTATAATGTTATTTCATATGTATGTATCCATAAATAATATAGTATAATTTGTATACATTTATTAATTGTATTTTTTAAAGTAGCACTTGGCCTGGCCGATGTCACTCAATGGTCAAGTGTGGACCTATAATCAGAATGTCACAGTTCAATTCCTGGTCAGGGCACATGCCCAGGGTTGTGGGCTCGATCCCCAGTAGGGGGCATGCAGAAGGCAACCAATGATTCTCATTGATCTTTCTATCTCTCCCTCTCCCTTCCTCTCTGAAATAAATTTAAAAATATACTTTTTAAAAAGCAAAATTAAGTAACATATACTAGAACTGCTTTTTAAAAATATATTTTATTGATTTATGAAAGGAAGGGAATGGGAGAAAGAGATAGAAATATCAATGATAAGAGAGAATCATTGATTAGCAGCCTCCTGCACAACCCACACTGGAGATCCAGCTCTGTAACCTGGGCATGTGTCCTGACCAGGAATTGAACAGTGGTCTCCTGCTTCACAGGTCG